AGCAGATACAGACTCACAGACATGGAGGACAGACTTGGGTTACCAAAGGAGAAAAGGGGTGGTGGGGGAGGGATAAATTAGGAGTTACCAAAAAAAAAAAAAAAAAAAGTTTTTCTACTGGATTGTAAGCTCCACGTGGCTGTGATGTCTTTTGTGTGTGGCTCTGCCCTTGCGTCTGGACGAAGGTCCCACACAGTTAGGCCATCCATAAACGCTTGTTGAACAGAATGAAAGTGAACAAATGAAGGAACGAAGCAGGAAGCAATCCAGTGCATCAAAGGATCCATGGGAGTGGAGGTTATGAAAAGCAAAATGCCAGCGGCATGGGGAGTCAGGTGAGTGCAGAGCTTTATGCTTCAGGAGCGCACGGTTGAACTTAGCAGACGGAGGTTTGGGTGACACGGTAGAGGCAAAGCCAGGGCCTCGTAGGCACAGGAATAAATCTCGTCTGAGGGGGTGAGCGCAGCCCAGGGGCCGTGACCAGAAGGGGAAGCAGAGGGGACTGGGGAGCTGGGAGTGGGGCCTTCGCTGGCCCTCCCTCCGCCCAGCGCTGCACAGACTTGGAAGTTCTCACCAGCTTTTCTACTACTTTGTCCTGCTGTCCTGATCTATCGCAGGGGAAAGTTCTATAAACATTGCTTACTGCCAGGTGAAAAGAAACACATTTTAAAGGCCTGATTTTGGGATTTTTATTTAATAATTTTTCAGTTTTTAAGGAATGAAAACGTTTGATTTTCTGAACGTGAAGCTGTCTTCTTGACGTTTATTTATGAACGTGGTTGCTACAGCTTGGGCTGGGGTTGGCACACTTTATCCCTACCGAGGCAGTTTGTTTTGAAGTTCTCTCTTCTTTCAGCTACTCTTCAAAATCTGGACTTTGGAATTTAATCTTAAAACACTTTTATTTCTTGAATCACAGGTTTCGGCATGGCTGGGCGCTAAGTCTGGCATATGACCTGCTGTTGGAAAACAGCCTTTCTGTGTGATGGAGTATGCATAGGGTGCTTTCTTCAGGGTTGTTTTTACTTGTGGAAACGGGTTTTGTGCTTCATTCTCTGCTAGAGGTTCATGACGGAGAATCCCATTACCTGCACAGCAAGGCATCCTCATTACTTTTCTAAATTTTTATTGGAGTCTAGTTGCTTTACCATGCTGTGTTAGTTTTAGGTGCACAGCACAGTGAATCACTTATACACACACATAGATCGACTCTTTCTGCCTCCTGCTTATTAATTTGAGGCCAATACATGGGTCTTTATTCTCACCCTAGTGGAGTTAATCACTTACCAGTAAAGGGAGAGAGCAGTCAGTGGATTTGGAGGCCGTTTAATCATCAACCCTGGGGATGGCAAATACCTCTCCGAGTTTCTGAGAATCTCTCTCCCACTGCTTGCCAAGGCCTTGTCACCAAATTTATCACTTTGATTCACGTGTTTTTTTCCTTCCCCTGTCACTACCATCTCTACACCCAGCTCTGTACTGGATTCAGGAACTGACCCAACCGTTTCTGAAGTTGCTGCTAATGTTACCCGTAAAAATCATGGTTCGTTCTTTGGGAAGAACGTAGTCTGTCTTCCTGGCAAACGCAAGACAAACACGGGTTTCCAAGGTGTCAGCACTGGGCGCATCTGTTCATAGTGTAATCTCATCATCTGAGCAGACGAAGGATGCTAATTAGTTTGTTGATACATATGTGATTTAATGAGACTAAACACTGAAGTGATCCTGAAGTATGCACAACTTGTTTCCTGTTGCTGTTTTTAGTTTAATAATAATAAAAAAAAAACCACGTTAGGCACATTGGCTGGAAATTAGAGCGTTGTGCCATCTCGGAGAAAAAAGAATTTCCAGGAACGTTGACTGGTCAGTTGTATCCTGCTCTAGTGAGATTGAAGAGAAGATGAGGGTAAAATATCGGGTTTGGGGACAGGGGTTGAAATCCAGTTTAAATGAGAGGATTAAGCATAATGGAAGAATTTTCATAAACTACATTACGTCAAACTCCTAGGTCCAATACTAAAATTCTCATAGGTAGCAGGATAACTTATTTGAGGAAGAAATTCCAGACCTGCATCGGCTCCAACATATAATCTTGTATTTTTTGTGGTCTTCTTTTTTTTTTTTTTTGAGTGCTCTCTTTTCTAGTTGTTGTATTATATGTTTACATAACTGAAACCATGGCATCCAATTAATACGATTCTTCTTTCTAAAAATTCATATGAAATAATGGTATTATAATTTTTATGAATGAATCTTTACTTAATAGTATCTACTATACTCTCCTTTATTATCTTCAAGTTTCTACAGAACTGGATCCACAGAGTTTCTCTATTTTAGGGGTGGGATGGGGAGAAGAGACAAGGAAGTAGCTCTGACCCTATAGTCAAAATTATATTTGGATTAAAATGCTTCAGTTAATTTGCTCAGCTTTTAGCGAACAGCAGTCAGCACACTACGGCCTGTGGGCCCAGTGCAGCCTGTTTTTATGGGAACACGTCCATGCCCGGCCCTCTGTGTATCTGCTGTGGCTGCTTTCCTGCCAGCAATGGCAGAGTGGAGCCACTGACTGCAGAGCTGAAGTGACCTATGGTCCTTTACAGGAAGGTTTGACCCTGATCTACAGTGTGTGTGAGGACAGGAATTAGTAAACAGTAACAGTTATGTTGAGATACGTTAAAGACTGAGAAACAGTTCCAAAGACCGAAACATAAGTTTTTTTTTTAACATCTTTATTGGCGTATGATTGCTTCACAATGGTATGCTAGTTTCTGCTCTATACAAAGTGCAGCAGCTATACATACCCATGACATAAAATTTTATCCTGGATGATTCAAGTACCACCAGCCAGTGAGCAGGAGAATTATGCTCTTGTTTGCTTTCTAATATAAACTTAAAAACCGTATCTTTAAGATAAACTAATCCTACTGTATAAACTAAGCCTGATTATTTAGAAGCTACTCTCACTTGGTAAAATATGAGTTTGGGTTCATCAAAAGGCATTGGCGGGCTTCCCTGGTGGCGCACTGGTTGAGAGTCCACCTGCCGATGCAGGGGACACGGGTTCGGGCCCCGGTCCAGGAGGATCCCACATGCCGCGGAGCGGCTGGGCCCGTGAGCCATGACCGCTGAGCCTGCGCATCCGGAGCCTGTGCTGAGCCTCTGGCCCATTAGAGATAATAATACCTATTCCCAATGGTTGCTGTGCGGCTTAAATGTAAATACAGAGTTCCCAGCCCTGTACCAGGCACTTAGTTGGGTTAAGTAACCATGGGTTCTTTTTCACTTTTTTTGTGCTTTTTGATTTTCCAAGTATGGAAATTGTTGGTGGACCCAAGCTAATCAAGATCATTGTATTGTTTTCTTTGGTTTTGTTTTGTTTTGTTTTTGCGGTACGCAGGCCTCTCACTGCTGTGGCCTCTCCCGTTGCAGAGCACAGGCTGCAGACACACAGGCTCAGCGGCCATGGCTCACGGGCCCAGCCGCTCCGCGGCATGTGGGATCTTCCCGGACCGCGGCACGGACCCGTGTCCCCTGCAGCGGTAGGAAGACTCTCAACCACTGCACCACCAGGGAAGCCCTGTTTTTGTTTTTAATAAATTTATTTTCTTTATTTTTATTTTTGGCTGTGTTGGGTCTTCGTTGCTGCTTACGGGCTTTCTCTAGTTGCGGCGAGCGGGGGCTGCTCTTCATTGCGTTGCACGGGCTTCTCATTGCGGTGGCTTCTCTTGTTCCAGAGCATGGGCTCTAGGCGTGCGGGCTCAGTAGTTGTGGCACGCGAGCTCAGTAGTTGAGGCTCGCGGGCTCAGTAGCTGTGGCTCGCGGGCTCTAGAGCGCGGGCTCAGTAGTTGTGGCTCACAGGCTTAGTTGCTTCACGGCATGTGGGATCTTCCTGGACCGGGACTTGAACCCGTGTCCCCCGCATCGGCAGGGGGGGGGTTCTGACTCGG